ATCAAATTGGCAATCATGGTTTGAAAATTTTGTATGGGTTTCTTATAATCTTACTTTGTGTGGCTCTGAGTTCTTTGTAGGGTTTTGGAATCTTGGCTAGCTTCCCATTTGCAATTCCCTCTTTCCCTACTTGCCTCCCCCCTTCTTCCAGTCTTAATATCGAATAATGCTTGATTTCTAGTGTATTGGTCCGTTACGTATTCTTGTCAGCCTTATGAGGTTTTCACACTCTTATAAGAAATGCTTCGTTCTACTCTTCAACCAATGTGGGATCTCACAGTCCACCTCGTTTAGGGGCTGTTTTCATTTGTAACAGCCCAAGTCCATTGCTAGGAGATATTGCTCGCTTTTGGTCTGTTACGTATTGTCGTCAGTCTCACGGTTTTAAAACATGTCTATTAGGGAGAGGTTTTCATACCCTTATAAGAAGTGTTTCGTTCTATTCTCCAACCGATGTGAGATCTCACAATCCTCCTCCCTTTGGGCTGATATCATTTGTAACAGCCCAAGTCCACCGATAGCAAATATTGTCCGTTTTGACTCGTTACGTATTGTCTTCAACCTCACGGTTTGAAAACGCGTCTACTAGGGAGAGGTTTCCGTACCCTTATAAGAGGTGCTTCGTTCCATTCTCCAACTAATGTGAGATCTCATAATCCTCCTCCCTTAGGGCTGATATCATTTGTAACAGCCCAAGTCCACCGCTAGCAAATATTGTCCGTATTGTCGTCAGCCTCACGGTTTTAAAATGAATCTACTAGAGAGAGGTTTCCGCACCCTTATAAGAAGTGCTTAGTTCTACTCTCCAACTGAGGAGGGATCTCACAACAAGCCTAGTTATTAGAGATGTCCATGGGTGAAGTGTATCTCCTCCATATTTCACGTTTAAATGTAGATTTTGCACTCCGCTTAGGACGGTCCCCATATAACACCCGTCTCATGGTTTAAATGGATATTTCTACTAGTTGTTACGTAAATTCGAACTTTAAATTTAACGTTCAAAACTTATAAACTAAGTATGCGAAAAACGAGGGTGGGGAGGAGGCTAGAACCTATAGCCACATTTGTTGGTTTGTGGAATATGAACCCTATAGCCCCATTTAGATGCTTGTGGTCAAATGAAATTGAGACCATTTACAAAGAAGGATCAAATGAGTAGAGATTGGGAGGACCCAATTCCATAACAACTAGCCTAGATATGTAAGACAATGACACACTATTTTGGAGCTAAATGCTAATATCTTTGCAAATTATCTCAAATATATTATAAGACAATATATTAGAAGACAAATTGATTTAAGTCATTAAATAGAAAATAATCGAGAATCATACGAGGATGATCAAGTAACAAGAGAATCTCACCATCTACCCTCTTTGAGGTCCAACGTTCTCGTGGGCACATCTCTCGATGTCCGACTCTGATATCATTTGTAACAGCACAAGCCCACCGCTAGTAGATACTGTTTGCTTTAGCCTGTTACGTACTGTCATTATCCTTACAGTTTTAGAACACGTCAATTATGGAGAGATTTTCACATCCTTATAAAGAATGTTTTGTTTCGCTCTCCAACTGACGTGAGATCTCACACACACACACACACACATATATATATATATATTCTAATTTTTACAACTTTACGACATGATTAATGTCAAACTAAATAAAAGTTAGAAAAGGTCATTAGAAATGGACTAAACTAAAAAAATTTTAAAAATTCAAGGATCGAAACATAAATTTTGAAAGTTTATAAACCAAAATAGGAAATACTGAAAAGTCAATGGACTAAAATGAAATTTTAAAGTTTTGACAGACTAGTATTATCTCTTAGCTATGGAGTGGATACCCCCATCTTCGAGACTAGGTCCCATTGCCACTATGTTCCTAAGCAAAATTACGAACCTACCCTCCTCAAACCATTGAATTACCACTAAAACAATAAGGTTTACAATGTAATTCTTAGTGGAAGGGAGGGGTATTTTGGGGACATAGGTTATCCTTCTTGTCAAAGCATTTAATGGCGATTCAATGAGTTGAAGAGGTTTTGGCTAGAGTTTGGAGGAATTCGGAGACAAACATTCGAATTGAGGGCCCCTCGTGCTTGTCACGTGCTTATAGTCTTGTAGACCAAAAAGACAGCTGCCCAACAAAGCCAACCCAACCCCTCCCTTATCCCTCATTCTCCTGCCACGTAAGCAACCTACATTTCTCCACGTGGCATTCATAGCCATTTTAAGAAGGTCCACTCCATGCCACGCTTGTAATTTTCTATTTTATTTATTAAATGTAATGTAAATGAAACTTATATTAACTTTATCCTAATCTTATTCTAATTAAAATAATAATAATAATTAGTGAGATTTACTTTTACATTTAATATAAAAATAAATAGAGCTCCTTTTTTTTTTGTATTTATTTTATATTTTTTAAAAACAAATATCATTTTTCACAATTTATGAGAGAAAAAAATGAAAAAAAAAAGGTAAAAGGAAAAGGAAATAATAACGGCCACTTTAGAAAATGGATAATTATTTAAAGGCAATAGGGCTATGAACAGAGCTCTGTTTGTTTCTTATCGCAATGACTAATCATTTCTCCTTTTTTCTTCTTCTCCTTGCAGACAAGGTGTTCGACGAAATGCCCAAATGAGATCTCTATATCAAATCCTTTCCCTTTCATCTCCACCTTTTGGCGACAACTAACAACATAGCGTGGTATGAAATTTACTTTTAAGATTTCAAACCTAGATTTCTTTTTCACTTAGATTTTAACATGAACTTCAAAGTCCACTATTGTTCGTTTTGACTCGTTATACTTATCGCTGTCAACCTCACAATTTTAAAACACTTTTATTATGGAGAGGTTCTAGCCCTACTCCGATCAACCGTCCGATGACTGACTCTGATATCATTTGTAACATCCCATACCTACTGCTAGTAGATATTGTCCATCTTAACCCATTACATATTATCGTCAGCCTCACGATTTTAAAACACTTCTATTATAGAGAGGTTCTAGACCTACACCGACTAGTGACTGACTCTAATACTATTTATAACAGCCTGAAACCCACCGCTAGTAGATATTGCCTATCTTGACCCATTACATATCGTCGTCAGCCTTAAGTTTTTAAAACGCGTTTGCTATGAAAAGGTTTTCACCCTCTTATCTCTAATCGACTTGGGATCTCATAAAGTAAAAATTTATATTAAACAGTTTTTGTCGGGATAAGAATCGCAAACGAAAACGAAACGAGACCAAATTTGTTTTGGTTTGCTTAAGCTCAAAATACAAAAGGTGAACAAAGGTGGGTAGGGTTGAATGAGTTGAAAACCCACTAGATATTGCCTGCTTATGAGTGGGTAATGGGTAAAATGCACGAAGGGATTGGAGGGTTTGTGGCAGACATGGAGGGAACTCATAGTGATCGAGTGTGTTTGTTAACAAGAATGCATGGAAAGAGAGATTCTTTATGTAATGTAACATTGCCCACCATAATCAAACCTTATAATAACAAAACACCTTTATTTCAGAGTGTTTGGAATTCTATACAATTTCTAGTTCTCCTCGTAATCATTGTTCTTCTTGCTCGGGACCGAGTTTTAGCCTCTCCGTAACCGAACGTGTAGGGCATAGTTGATTTTCGAATGGAATGTTACCGGTCAAGTTTGATAACTATTTATGTTTTGTTCGATGATCATTGTTTCTAGTTAAATCATTTATATGGTTTTCATTTTTTTTAAAAACATTTAAATTTTTAGTCCGATTTCAAATAAATAATGTTAAGAAAATAAAATTGGATAAGTTTGACGAAGCTTGACATAGACAAGTACGATGTAAATGGTTGTCCAATATTCAATTGATCCCGTTTTTCACGGACTTGACTTTGGATTTGAACCAATTAAGTAATGGGTGGGGCCGGGACGGGGAAGCCATCCTCGTCCTTATCCACACCACCTATTTCATTATCCATTTTTGCGAAATTCTCCATTTATTTTTGTGGGTTTGACGCGGTGGCTATAATGTTTTATGACAAAATCTCTACAAATTATTACATCATAGTCTTATAACAATTAAAAACAAAATCTATAAAATAGTCTTTAGTTTAAATATTATAGAGTTTCAAAATTATCTAATTTTTTTAATAGGATAAGAAAGCATACGTGTACGTGTGTTGAAAATATATTTATATTTAGCGGGGACAGAGACGAGGAATATAATCCCGTCCCTGATTCCATTTATCTAACGGAAAAAAATGTTTTCCAGTCCCTCCTTCATTCCCTGTCTAAGTCCCCTCCCCATTCGGGATGGGTCTCCACCGTAAAATGAACATCTCTACTACTTGCCCTTTAATAGATCCTAAAATATATCAAAAAGCTTCAAAACGTGGACCAATGATATACACTCGATAAGCATAAAATACGAGAGAAAACAAAGAAAAGACGGAAAGCAAGACAAAGTAAAAGCGAAAGACACGCTAGCCAAATATTTTGCTAGTTTTAAAAAATAAATAGTTATCTATTTAATTAAATTAAATATGATAAATTTCATGCAAAAAGAAAAAAAAAATCAATTTACGCTCTCATAGAACTTTGAGGGTCGATATTCACATAAGACCTTCGAAGAACTATAAACTTAAAGTTATACGAGTTTGGTACAATCTCGAACATATGAAATTCTGATTCTCGACCTATTTATTTTAGAAGTGTACTTGACTCGAGAGATGGGAGCGAGTTTCTTCAAAGTTAAAGTCTGAGAAGATTTCTTTTATCTTTGAAGAACTTAATCTTTAAAGAACATTCTTCAAATTCTTCGAGAACTTGGAGAACTCTATTTATTGAGTATTCAAGGAGTATTATGGATTTTGGGCTCGAATAGCCTTCGGCCCAACTGATTGAACTTGGGCCTGGCTGCCCTTTGGGAAGCCTATTTTTTAATTCAATTAATTCAAATGAAAAAAAGCACGTGGAATAATCGAATAAAGCAGGCTACAAAAGACTTGGGCTCGGCCCATTAGGCGTAGAATCATAACTCGCAGTGAAATTATCGAAATATTTACCACACAAGACGACTTTTTACCTTCCATGTCTGGAAATTAATCGCACAGGATAAAAAATACAGGATCGCGATGAAGGGTAATTCCGTCATAAATATTGTTAACCCACCAACAGAATTGCCACCGCCCGGCGCTTATTGAAGCCAGAAGTCAGCGGCTTCCATTAATGGAGGACGAAAATATACAGCTAGCAAATAGAACCCTAAACCAAGAACGTATCAAGCTCAACGTCGGCGGTAAGCTCTTCGAGACCACCGTCTCCACCACACGTTCTGGCGGCCCGGAGTCTCTATTGTATGCTCTATCCAACCGGCCGAGAGACGATCGGAATCCGATTTTCATAGATCGCGATCCAGAGATCTTCTCGGTCCTCCTTTCTCTTCTCCGAACCAACCGCTTGCCTTCATCGGCTCGCCGATTTTCCAAACAGGAACTCTTCGATGAAGCTATCTTCTACGGCATCGAGGCGAATCTCAAATCAGCGATTTCTCCTCCGTCGTTTGACGGCATCGATGCGTCAATCGTCGCGAATATTCGCCCTACTTCCGACGGTGTTGTATCAGCTTTTACGGCGGGCGATGGGGACGGCTCCATCTGGCTTGCTCACGGTGGTCAGATCTCTTGTTACGATCGGAATTTAATCCACGACAGAACGATTCGAACTCACTTGGAGGAAATCACGTCAATCCGCCGCGTTTGGCCGGAGATTGCAGCGTTAGGTTCAGACGCCATTTCCGGTCTTCATTATTACAATTTCTCCAGCGGCCGACACATCGGTTCGACTAACTGGTCAGATCCAAAGGATCCCCGCATCTACAAAGCCAGAGTCACCGCAATCGCCGATTCGCCGACTAATATTTTCGCCGCCTTCGAATGCGCTCACAGAGAGAATTCCGTACTCGTCATCGACCAAACGACTCTCCAAATCACATCTGAACTCGGCCGACAACTCGGATCCTCCGCCAAGAGCACCGTCGCCGGAAAGCTTACGTGGATACCGGAAACCAGCGTACTCTTCGGAAGCTCGGTAACGTGTGGTGCGTTTGGGTACTCGGGCTACGTCAGGCTCTGGGACTCTAGGTCAGGCGACGTGGTTTGGGAGACGAACGAGCCAGGCTCGGGCCGAAGCAGTAGGTTCGGAGACTCGTTCGCTGACGTGGATGTCGACGTGGAATCGATGAAACTGTTCAAAATATGCTCGAAATCGGGGGATTTGGGAGTGGCAGATATTCGTAAATTAGGGGACGACCCGTGGGTATATTTGAAAGACAAGAATCCGGGAATGGGAAACACGGGCAGAAGGGGGAGTGGAAATATCAAAATTCACTGCTTCAGAAAACAGGTTTTGGTGGGGAGAGAAGGAGAGCTGGAGGTTTGGTCGAGAGTGGAAGAAAGAGAAAACGGAGTGGAAGAATCAAAAGATATCGGCGAGGATTTTTACCGTCGAAACTACGTCGACAAGGCGGAGGATTCCGAGAGGGGGATTATAAAGGAAATTGAAGGCGGCGGCGACAGGCTGTTTGTTTCTCGGGAAAATGTTGAAGGCATTGAGGTTTGGGAAACCTCCAAATCATCCGGCGCCGTTTCGATTTTGTGACCCAAAAACCGGTTCGCCCTTCGCAACCGTTCTCATCAGTATTGGGCCTCAATTGGGCAACCGCTCTCATCATTATTGGGCCTCAATTGGGCAACCGCTGTCATCACTATTGGGCCATTGTTCGATCATTTTTTATGGGCCTAGCACCTATTGAGCGATTGTTTTGGGAGTTTTTCGTTTTTCTTTTCTTTAGGGAAAATTCAAATTTCAATTTAAATTTTAAATTGGACTATACAAAATATGAGGTTTTTAGTATTACTTCAATATATATTTATTTATTTACGCGTTAACAATTTAAAAATAAAATATTAACGAAAATTAATAATTTTAAATTTGAATTGTGATGGATATTTATATATTTTTGAAAGAGAAACAAAACCCGTACTTGATCTTACACGTGTGAAACCATGGAAGGTCACTGGACCGAGGGTCCAAATCCCACACGTGTGAGAAGATCGAACGTGCCAGATATTTATTTATATAATATAATCTCTCTTTGTCGCTATCTGTATGGGATCGCTTTGGCGGCAATGATCATTTCCACAAAACCCAAAAGATAATTCCTTTGTGATCATATTCATATATTCTTCCAAAAAATTAGAATATCGGTTACTGGCTATAGCCAGTAAAAGGTCGCTCTTCGGGGGCTCGTGTGGCGGCAATTGTTGCATGTGTTACCGGTAGTTCCGGTTGCTCTAATCAATTTCCTTCTCTCCCCGGGTTCGAATTCAACCCTGGTTCTTTTGAACTCTTTTGTTTCTTCTATCACTCTCTCTCTCTCTCTCTCTCTCTGAGTCTTCGAAATATCTCTGTTGTTGATTCTCTATTCTCTATTTCCTTTCCGATTCCTTTTGGATCGGACGGCTTGGTTCATCGAAGGTAATCGATTCTCAGCTTTCTAGATCTCTTCTCTTCTTTGTTTTTTGTTCGTCGTTCTACTTTTCATCTACTTCTGTTTGTTTTGCCTGCAAAATTATCGTCGGTTGAAGCTAATTTGTTGAGTTTTTAAGGTTGCGTTCGTTTTCTTTTCCTCTATTTCCGTGGAGAATAATCGTTGTTGATCTACATATGTTGTGTTTTTATGTATTTATCATCTTAATAATTGGTACTGGAGTTGTTTAACAACTTCAACGGGAGAGTGAACTGAAGAAGTAGCAGCAAGGGTTCAAGAATTAAGTTATGTTAATTCAATTATATTTTAGGTTTATTTTTCAGTCTAAAGATCTGTCCCCGATTAAACAAGTGATTTTTCATAGTTGTAATACGTAAGAATCTGCCGAGTCTTATTTTCCTTTTTGTATGTACTTTTTACTGTTAATCGTCTGTAGCTGGTTGATGTAGTTAGTCAAATTTAGAGACGGTTTTTTCAATTGAAATTTAGGGATTCTAGTCTTGTTAAGGTCAAATATGTCTCAAGAACATGTATTATTACACTATTGACTTCCACTTGATTTGTTTGCTTCTGGATATTCCTCAATTAATACATATCATTGTTCCTTCTACTTCAACGGTTTCTAGAGGTTGCTTTCACTGCGTTTTTGTACTTTTGGCATGTACTTTTATGTTAACAATCTTGATTTATTGATTCTTGTCAGGACTATTTGAGGTACTGCGCTTTCTTATTTTGCCTCAAATTGTTCTTGTCCTGATTCTCGTGCATGTAGGCTGTTTTTTAAACTATTGCACTTTTTAGTAACTCGCCGTATCATTATACTGCTACTCCATAACTAGTCATTTTGAACAGGCATTTGCCTTGCATAATGAAGAGGCCCAAGGGTAAGGGAACATCAAGGGTCTCCAAAGAAGCTTTGAAGCCAGTGGATGATAGGTAGTTTTTTGCCCATTGTCCCACTAAGTTTTATTAGTCTGATAAAACCTTGCAATTGTTGGGTTAGGATTGTCTGCGATCCATGGCTGGCATCTTTTTTTTGGAGTATCGAATTTCCAGCAAGTTTTTTAGTTCTATTGAAATCTAATATCCACATACTTGGTGGTGTGTATACAGCATTTACAGGAGTTTTGTAGTGACGGATCATAAATATCTCTATTCTTTTCAGAAAGGTTGGGAAGCGAAAGGCTGCCATCAAGGCTGACAAGGGTATCAAACGACCGACAAAGAAAGAATTGAAAGCCTTGAAAGATCCCAACAAACCTAAGAGGCCTCCGAGTGCTTTTTTTGTCTTCCTGTTCGTATTGCCTTTTGCCATTTTGTCTTCAGGCTAAAATCTATTTGTTTGATTTCCTTCATGAAGCAAATTTTCTAATCTTTTTGAAATTTTATATAACAGTGAGGAGTTCAGACAGGAGTACAAGAGGGAAAATCCTAATGTGAAGGCAGTATCTGCAGTATGTGATCTTTGAAATTGTTATAAAGATTCACACAAACTTGAGATGCAAATATACAGTCAATTGTTAACGTTTTCTCCACACCTGCAGGTCGGAAAAGCTGGAGGACAGAGGTGGCAATCATTGACTCATGATGTAAGTAATGTTGTGTATTACATAACAATTCAAGCGGGCTTAAAATGGTTGCCCTCATTTCATTTTTCCTGCATGTATATATGATGTTGATCAAGGAAACTCTGTTTTTAGAGGTGTGACATTTGTATTTTTCTGCCTCTGCAATGATATTTTCTTACCATGGGTGTTGCACAATATTCCATTTCTAATAATAACTGGCTGGGTTGAAAGGAAAAAGCGCCCTATGAAGCTAAGGCGGCTAAGAGGAAGGCTGAATATGAAAAGCTTATGAGGGCATACGACAGCAAGAAGGTAGGCGCGCTCTGTATTTTGTGTATCGATCAAACTTATAAAACTTCACTGCGACAAACGCTTATACATGCTGTTATCTGGGAATAGGCTAGTGAAGCTGATGACGAAGAATTAGAGAGGTCGAAATCTGAAGTGAACGGCGAGGATGAGGCCAGTGAGGAGGTATTTTTGATACATAATAAGCAAATGCTTCAATGCTTGTACATGTCTATTTCAGTTCATATTATGCAAATTCAGATCGTATCTGCTGTTTCATGTGCGCATATTTCATTTTATAAGCCTGCTGATTGTTTGAAGTTGAGAGTAACAAAGTTATGTTCTACCTACTTAGCTTGTTGCATACTATGAATAGTCATTCGCTTCTCTATCAACACATGTTCAATACTCAACTCTTTGCAGGAACATCACGAAGACGATGAGGAGGACGACGACGACGAAGATGATGAAGAGGATGATTAAATTAGAAGCAACTTTCTAACATTTGCAATAGCCAACCCAGCTGCTAGAGGGAGGGAGTAGCTCATGTATGTTCATATCTTCAGTACTTGCGTGCTTTCTGTTCTTTTGTATTTATGTGCAAATGATAAAGTGTTGTATGGCACTTCCGCAATATTACTGTTTAAATGGTCTGCTCCACTCGCATCGCCGTTGTCATAATTTGATAAAATCTTTGGCTATTCTGGCCTTCTGATAACCAACCGAATATTTAAAATTATCAAATCCGTCTTTTGGAAGCTGTAAATCGAGTTTGTCTCTTACTCTCTTGCCTTTTTGCAGTTAGAGAAATACCCTTTTTTTTTTTTAGAACTTTTAGAGAGATCCTCTGAAGCATCCGTGAAAGGTAATGGTCTGTCTAAAGTCGAAGATTATGACAACAATAGTAAAATAAATGTATGGGTTGGAGAATTCCCTTTTTTACATCCTTGAGGCGTTTCTACATAAAAAGTTTACCGCACGTTACTCTAATGGACATGAAAGATAAGTAGCTATTGAGTCATTCGTTCATTAATATGCTTGCAACTTTGCAGATCTCTGATAAAAATATATTTTTGACATTAATGTACAGAAATATTAAACTTGAAATTTCAATTTTGAGGCTCTGATAAATATCTAATTTTAAAACGTTACTTGATATTTCAAAAAATTATAAAATTGTATTAAAAGAATTTCTTACTAATGGTTTTAAGGAAACTTAGACATAGTTGTTATGAATTTCAAGTTTTGAACTATGCTAATTAAATTTTAACATCCTCCGAGCTATAGAATCTATATTAAATGACTCAACGGTGGAAGGAAAAAATGAGACAACAAAAAGGAGAACCTACAAGAATCTAACAGGTTGATTCAGCCACTATGTTGTAGCGGTTGAATAAAAAATAGTGGGGATTTCATGCAAAAATTCAAAGTTTGTGCTGAAATTCGTTGATTGCTCTGTACGAATTTACAATGGAAAAAACTTATGTTCGTTGTAAGATCACTAAAGGAAGGGTTGGTCATAAATTTAGAGAGTTTGCTCCGACACGGAAGGTATTAGCCCCTTACTCATCTCTTCAACATCTAGAAAAAGGTCCTATTAGTTGAGCTCTTTCGTAAAAGCACCATTGGACGGTGGTTCCTCTCTTTTTCTTTTTCCCCCAAACAAAGCGAAAAAAAAAAAAAAAGAGAATCACTTGATTCCCTCACAACAAGGCAGATAAGCAAGGCAGATAAGGGACTTTTTTTCCTTAAGTCCAGTATACGAAAACAATTCCTCCCCACTAAAAAGAGCAATTGAGATTGAATTTCAAGTTCAACAGTGTTGAGAAGATATTAGCCCCTTACTCACCTCTTCAACGTCTAGAAAAATATGCATCATTCTTTCTTCGCATAATATCTACACTGCTATATGGTCCCCTTATGCGAGCCCTTGCTATGACACGAGCTAGAAGCTTCAGATTTATTTATTAGAACAAATAAAAAAATGACTTCATACAATGATCAGGAATTTCTGCGAGGAGAGAAGCAGTGAGACCGAGTGAAAGAAGGTGGCATGTTTTCATTCCCATATACTTTCCAAAACAGAAGCAAAGCCTTGTAACCAAAAAGAAAACGAACACGGGAAACAAGAGAGAAATTGCACGAAGGATCTAGTGGTTCAATTGTGTTCTATGCATTGAAGTGAAAACATTACATATATTTATAGGAAAATAAGAAACTAGCCACTAACATAGGCCACCTTAATCATCCCCACTAATCCATAGGCCACCTCCCTACTAATTAAGAGGCACTGACCTAAATAAGTGCCAGTAACAATAATTAAAGAAAAATATATGGATACCGGTGTGTGAGATCTCGACGGCCTCTTTGTGCCTTTTGTATATCGATATGATAAAAATATGGATACCCGTGTTATTTAGTTAGCGCAAATATTGTTGAGAATTATTGGGAGTGAGTTCCACATTTAGTGGAAGATCATGGGTTTATAAGTGAGAAATACTATCTCTATTGGTACGAGGCCTTTTGGAGAAGCTCAAAACAAAGCCACGAGAGCTTAGGCTCAAAGTGGACAATATCATACCATTGTGGAGAGTTGTGATTTCTAACATGGTATTAGAGTCATGCCCTAAACTTAGCCATGTCAATGGAATCCTCAAATATCGAACAAAGAATTGTGAGCCTCGAAGGTGTAGTCAAAAGTGACTAAAGTGTCGAATAAAGGGAGTACTTTGTTCGAGGGCTCTAGAGAAAGGAGTCGAGTCTCGATTAAGGGGAGGCTATTCGAGAGCTCCATAAGCATCAGGGGAGGCTTATAGTGTACTTTATTCGAGGGGAGGATTGTTGAGGATTATTGGGAGTGAGTCCCACATTGGTTAATTTAGTGGAAGATCATGGATTTATAAGTGAGAAATACTATCTCTATTAGTATGAGGTCTTTTGGAGAAGCCATAAGCAAAGCCACGAGAGCTTATGCTCAAAGTGGACAATCTCATACCATTGTGGAGAGTCATAATTTCTAACAAATATTTGGTTCATGCACAACATGATACACAAATAAGGAAGTTTCAACCTTCCATCAGCAAGATTTGATTTCAGTTTAAGAAACTAATGATGAATGCATAATTGTCAACATAGGTGAGTATTTTTATGCTTTTCAACATAATTTAATTAAAAAAACAGGTACACGACTAGCTGTGTAAAATACCTTCGTAAGATTGCCAAGGGAAGCCATTGGTAGAAAATAGATAGGATGCATGGAGTAGCAAGATCAAAGGTGCTGCATAATAGGTAATTACAATTAAAGGTTTTACAGTTTTAATAGTAAAATCAACATTTCTGTTGTCAAAATTGAGAGATTGGAAAATGGCACCTGTCTGCACTGCCAATGAAGTCTGCATACATGCGCCATTGTTCTGGAACATCATCAAAAAGATTACCAAACCGTCCACCTGGAAAGGATGCAACTCACTGAAAAATTCAATATAATCTTCCATATTATTTTCTCTTTATGTGCAAAGTATCCATTATTAGGCCTTTTTGTGCGTACATATGAACGTATTACATAGATAAGCTCAAAGATTACTCAGTCACGGAGAATGCCAAGAAAATGTTGTGGGAAAAAAACACTTAGAAACATGATGGCAGCATTAGAAGCGGCTTCAGTAGTTCCAGAGAAGGAGCATATACCAACTGCCTGCAAATAGTCAATAAAAGAGTGGTTTAAATAATGTTAATGACCTTTTCTTTTCCATTTTGCGAAGAGAACCCGTTATAATAGAATGAAACTGTACTTTCAGAAACAGTTATCAATTATGTAGAATTTGAGTTTTGAATCATCTAATTATAGGAACTGGATGTGACCAACGCGTGACACATCCATCCAATAATATTAGTGGGGAACTGCAGTATCATGTACCGCAAGTAGTTGTCTGAAACTGATTCTGCAATGAAAATTATATAAAAGTGAGATAGCAGGTATAACTAGATACTACCTGAAAAAAGAAATTGAGATATTACTTTATCGATCATTTTTTCTGATAATCCACCATACTTCCATTGAGAAAAAAAGAAGATGAATACAAAGACATCCAAAATAACCAAGCCAACAAAAAGAGGAATTCCCATTAAGGAACCCCAATCGAGCAAAATGTGAGCGGATAACTGACAAAAGGAATTTGACACCGACGCCCAAAAGAAAACAAAGAACCTAGCAAGGGACCAAACATCCCTACCGTCTTGCTCACCCTTCTAAAGATCCTATTGTTTCTCTCTCCCGGAAAGGCCGATCATCTGGCTGTATAACTACAAACAGCTTGAGCAAACATTAATGGATGTATTTGTCACACGTTGGTCATATCCCAAATGCTCATTGGCTATATGATATGAACTCTTGGCTGTAATCCATATGACAAACAAAAGTACATTCTCATAAAAAGTTTATGGTTTCTTTTCTATCTTCTAGTTGGTGTAAACCCATACAACGTTTACAATTTACGATTCATTACAATTGAAAAGCTTCTTAATAATCTCCTTGAGGTTGCTTGGATTCAAAGAGGGATAATCCAATTGTCCTTTTCATATTTTCTACTCCTTTTCGCATGACAGAACAATTTCTAACTGATGGGAATCAAAAGAGGGAAGAGGAAAACCTAGAAGTACTGGAAAAATCCTGATCTTTGGGAGTGCAAGATTATTGTAGAAAAATTAAATAAGTAAAACGGGATACATCTAGTTGTATGAATCAACTAGAACCCAAATATTCTAGCTTGGAAAACATCACGTAACAAAAAAGTTCAATGAAGAAATATTAATGGGAAAAGTGAGAAAGAAAAAAAGTCCACGCACATTAGGTATCATGTTAGGAATCACGACTCTCTGCAATGGTATGATATTGTCCACATTGAGCATAAGCTCTCGTGGCTTTGCTTTTGGCTTCCCTAAAAGGCCTGTGAGATGTATTCCTTACCTATAAATCCATGATTATTCCCTAAATTAGCCAATGTGGACTCCCTCCCAACAATCCTCAACACCCTTGGGGAAGATAAAATCTTGAATGATATCTGGAAGCCAGGATAATTTAGTTTCCAAAAAATGAGATACTTTGAGACCATTGGATGTCGGAGATGTTTGTTCATCAAAAACAGATGGCAAACGGACTTATCATCCAGAAAATACCTGTTCATGGAATCAAATTTCCCAAAATGAAACTCTTATTGTAGCTATAGGAAGCAGAAAACGGTATACCAGTTCTCAAAATCTACAAACTACGCTGAATACTGATCGTTAATTATCTCAACCATCAGCTTTATCCTAAAAGAAATGTGAACCTCTATCTATCCTCAGGAAGTTTAAGGCAAATTTTTAATTCACATAAAATGGATCAAGCATATAGATTGCTTCAGTAGAGTGATATTAGCAAAACCATAGCAATATGAACGAGAATCATTATATCTATTATAAGAATTTGAAAAGACGAATTCGAGGAATGATTACGTAAAAAGTGAATTCTAAGGCAAACATCACCGGCTTCTTCCCAGCGCCATTTCCGTACTTCTCGCAAAAATTACTCGCTGCTGGCCGTGTACTCTGCAACAAGAAACACAAGACAAAAGTAATACAATCAGATGGAATAACACCGAAAGCATTATCACTAGCAGAGAAACAATCACCACTTCCTCTAAATCGATATTTTCTTTCGCCTCTTGAGATATTAAGACATTTCGTCTCGAACATTTGCCGCTCGCTCAGTATGGAAAGAAATTGATCAAGACTTGGAAAAACTTAAAACATTTCAGGAAGATACGATATATCACATACAAACTACGCTGAACTTCTCTTCATCCATTAATATCCACCAGTTTTCAATATAACAGAACAGAACAATGTAGGGGAACAAAAAAAAAGATCTCGTACCTGCACGATCAACACCGTTCTTTACATTGTCTTCTCCATCGGAAAATCGGTTTAGCTACATAAAATCTGATGACGATTTCGCAGTTTTCCACTGTGCATCAAGCTCAAAGACTCAAGGGAAGGAAAGGCTGCTTCATGCTAGGCGTCCAGACCTACTACGCCCGAGCCGCATTTCAATTCAAATCCTCGATTTTCAAATTGACAGATGGTTTTAAAATTATAATAATAAAATTTAAAGTATAATAAAAAAGGAGAGGAAAATAGAAAGGATATGATTCTCATTACCAACATATTCTTATGATACATGAAAATTCAAACACAACGACGAAAAATGCATATAAAAACACAAATAAAAAAAGCATACAAATATTTATTGCAGATTGCATGCGCTTAATTATTAGCCCACAAACTGCCTTCATCAAACTCCCCATAGTTTGAAATTTTCTAAGCGTTCCACCAGGCAGGCGGCAAGCGTTCGATCCAGGCCAATTCTGATATCAAAGAATTTAATAACAAATCCATTTGATTTTGCTGTTTGGTCCTTCTTTATGACCAGATTTCAAAAGAAACCCCTCTCTCATTTTGCAATTTGACCCACTTAAAAGCATCATATTAGCCTTTAAGCTCTGAAGATTGATTGGTTTGAAGCTTGGAGTCCCAAGTTGGGGGCATTGTTGTCATCTGCATGGGCCAAAAACAAAAATACGTTAATTTAACGACCTAATTTCATTAAAAGTACTCTATACACGCATGTAACAACCCAAACCCATCCGTAGCAGATATTGTCATCTTTAGGGTTTCGCTTTTGTCAAAGTTTTTAAACCAAAACCCACTCCCAGTAGATATTGTCCTCTTTGAGGTTTCCCTTTTAGGCTTCCTATCAAAGTTTTTGAAACACGTATGCAAGGAAGAGATTTTCACACGCTTATAAAGAATGCTTCATTTTCTTCTCCAACCGATGTGGGATCTCACAATCCACCTCCCTTTGAGGCCTAGCGTTCTCGCTGGCACTCCCCTCTCCAAATTAGGTACAAGCTACACACAATTCAAACTCTTCTTAACCCTAAAACTACACGAAAATAGACTATTGAAACCCGTGAACTAAACTCACTCGAACCGAACCCGAACCGTGCAATTTAGTCACTCACCTTCTTGGGTCTTGGAAACAAAGAAGCAAGCAGCAATGATGATGTAGCAGAGGAGAAGAATGAGGCCTTTAATATAGTGAGAGGTTCCATCTTGTAAAGTGAAGGCCGTGGCAATAATGGCCAACCCAAGCGACCCCGTTTCCATGAGGTTAAAGTTCAGGTCCATGTCCACTCCCATTGTCCAAGCAACTATCACACACAGTGGAATCTGCAATTACATATTCTTCAGGGGTCAGTTCGTGTAATTTCAACCTTTTTCCAAGAGGGGTTTGAAGTTTTCAATAATTACACATACGTACCACAAAAAGTGCAATTTGTGTTGCAGATCCCAATGCAACTCCCAAAGATATGTCCTGCAAACAAAATAAAATATTTAATTTTATATTTAATAAATCTCCATAAATTTAATTTTTTAAAAATTAATTGAATTACCTATTCGTGAATTTTTAATTTACGATACTTACCAACTTATTCTTGAAGGCGAATATGATAGCCCCGGCGTGTTCGGCTGCATTTCCGACGATAGGGAGCAAGATTATGCTAAGGAAACTGACCGACAAACCCCACGTAGTAGATGCTTCCTGAAATTAACATAATAAACTTTAGGTTATATTTTAAATTTATTAAAAGAGAAATAAAAAAATATATTTCATTTTTTGCTGAAAAGCCCTTTAAATATACAGTAATTAAAATTTACCTCAATTGTGTTCACAACGTATTCGGACAGCAAAGCAATAAGAAGTGTCATTCCAGCAAGCCATGCAAATGCACTCCAGAATCCGATCACTGCCTCTTCTCCAGAAACGTCGTCGTCTTCGGTTTCCTAATTTTCCAATAATATAATTAAATAATTTAATTCTCACACAATAAAAAAAAACATTTCAATTTTAATAAATAAATGTTTATCTTGGTTCAAAAATCAACCCACCAAGACATTGATTATTATTATAATTATTGTGTGTAATTTTAATAAAATCTTAAAATTAGTTATTTTTACTTAATTTTATAAAATGCGAAACGATCGAAGAAACTGTTATTTTTTAAAATTTATACTCGAGACTATTTTTACGATTTATTAAAAATTTGAAACTAAATTTGAGTATTTAAAAGTAGATAAACGACTATTCTAGTGGAGGATTCGGGACCATAGCATGTCGTAGTGGTTCATTTAGAACCACCAAAACATCCTTAGCCACTAGTCAGATACAAATACATCGCCTTCTTATAATTATAATGTAATAACTTTTTAATTATTTGTCACAATTTTTCTTATTTTTTAACTAAATATTCAAAAATGTACTAACTTTTTACTTGATTTAATTTTGAAAATTAAATAATAATAATAATAATAATGAATGGATGGAAAGGGTGTATATAAACTTAATTTTTTTTTTTTAACTGAATTTTATTAAATAAAAAATAGAATATTAAAGAGAGGAGAAGGAACGTACCTCAGTTTCAAATAATGTCCGGTGAGTCCAGAGTTGGAAGACCAAGTAAGCAATGTAAGCGGCGAGCATTACAATGCTGCTGGCTCTGGACAAGTGGAGGGTGGAGGCGGCGGCCGTGGAGGCGGAGGAGGCGGAGGAGGCGGCGTACCCAAACAATAACGGCAATAGGTGGCACAGTAATGACAGCATCAGCATCAGTGCGTTCACATCCGCTTGCCTCTGTTAAAATTACAAAATTACATATTTAATTATATTTCTATAACCTCTCCTCATACAACTGCATCTCCCTTAATTGATACCATATTAAGCTCTCGCAGGCTTGTTTTGGGCTTCCCCAAGAGACCTCATACCAACGAAGAGAGTATTCCTTAATTATAAACTCATCATCAGTCTCTAAATTAGTCGATGTGGGACTTTCATCATCCAACAGTAGTAACAGATTTCCACACCCTCCACTCATTGGGTCTATTATTTGGCTATGATATTATTATAATAGTTCAACTACACCGTTGGATACATTATCTTCTTTAAGCTTTTCATCACGACTTCTCCCAATATTTTAAAACAGGTATGTTAGACAGAAGTTTCCACCCCATTTGTTCTCCTCTCTAACTCGTATGGTCTTTTTTAGATTTTCACTTCTGGGCTTACTCCAAAGTTTTAAAATGGTCGGTTAGGTTCGACTTTGTCTCCCACGCTTTTTCTAAAGTTTTAAAACGCGTCTGTTAGGGTAGAATTATAAACTCTTTGTTTCCTTCTCCAACTAACGTGGGATCTCACACGCAAGAACATGTTTTAAAACTCGGAGAGTAAGCTCAGAAAAAAAAAAAAAAAACCAAATATAACAATATGTGTTAGCGGTGGACTTAGATGGTTACTTAACGTTAAAATTGATCTAAAAAATTAATATAATGCGAGAGAGAGAGCTGTTACTTACTCTGTCATAACTCTGCTCTTTATTAATGATGCCACCACAGAAGAGAGAGGTGCCAAGAACAAGAAGAAGGTTGGAAAGAACAGAGCCCAAAAGAGAGAACTTCACCACGTCTATCTTTCCTTGTGTGAGCGCCAGAATTGCAATTATCAGCTCCGTCGCATTCCCACATGTTGCATTCAAAAGCCCCCCAACTATATACCAAATTTTTAATTTCATCATTAATTAAATCTATTTTATTTTATAAATAAATAAAAAAAATTAATATAAACGACCGATTACCTGTTGGGCCGGTGAAATAAGCGATTTGCCTTCAAGGACAAATGGAAACAATAAGAGGAAATAAAAGAATAATAATAAATATTTGATATTAATAAAAAGGTCAGAGAAGCTTACTCGGTCAGGAAGCTGACACGTTCAGCCAATGGCGTGAGGCCAAGCAAGCTCAAAGCAAAAATCCACGGCTAAATACATATATTAATTAGTTAATTAATTAAATTAACCAGAACGACATGTCGTTTCACGGGAAATAGAGAGGGATAAGGGTTCTCACTCTTCCAAACCCGAAACTCTGAGCGACAATAGCGAGCGGAATGGCAGGGAAGAGAATGGAAAGTTTAGTTCCCAAAATGACCTCCTGAAGATTGATGAGGAACTTGCGGAGACAGCCGAATTGGATTTTGGAGACGAGGGTTAAATCGGACTTTTTGCGTAGGGAAGAGGAGGACAAGTTGTGGGCAGTTCGGCCATGGCCGTGGCGACTCTCCTTGGTTAAGCGCTTAAGGGTTCCGTTTTCCATGAGCCATGGCTCGGATTGGGAAGCCATGGGTTCGCTTTTTTTGAGGCTGGAAAAAGGGACGAGGAAGATAGAGTTGGCGCTGTTGGTCTCAGATGTTTTCTGAGAGATATGGCGGTAAGATGGAACGCTTTATAGGCTGAACCAAGAACCTTCCGCGAAATTTCGTAACTAACTGCCTACTCTGCCTCATCATATTCTGGGTCCGGTCCGGTCCGGTTTTTCTCGAAATCCATGACAAATTTGTAATATTAAAATATGTATTTTTAAAATTGAATCCTATAAATTTTATTAACTTAAATTAATAAAAACAACTTTATACTTAAAATAACTTTTAAGAATAATATTTTTTAAATATTTATGAAAATTAAAATATTTCAATAATACTCTAAAAGATATTTTTATTGTATTATATTTATAAAATATTCATTAAATTTTAAAAGTAGCATTAAACATTATTTACCTTTGAAAAATAGTTTAAAATTTTGGATATTAATAAATTTTTGAAACGTCGAGATTATTTTTTAAAACATTTTGAAAGTTCAATAGTATTTTTTAAACCAAATGTTAATGACATTAAAACATTCTTTAAATAAATTACTATTGTCATTTAAAACTATTTTTAAAAGTTTAAAAAGACAAAATGCAAAATTTAAGGATATTTTTATTTATTTAGACAAATTTAGATTATATATATATATAACGCTTGCATGTATATATTGAAATGTGAGGTTAAAAGGAAAAAAAAAAGTAGAGAGTAAATTCTTGAAATGATAAGATAAGGAATCACTACAAGGGGAGTAAGATTCGGATTATCTTGTTGATCGAATATCTCAACGCAAGAACACTTGGTTGAGATTCGAATCACTCCACAAGCAAGATTGATCATGTCGAGTTTGAATGATTCTACATGCAACCTAAACTATATAGAATTGTAAAGAAACTTAGTCATTGGCTAAAGGGAGCATAAACGCTCTTTTTACTATATTTTCCAAGTCTACCTACAAATACAACATACATAGCTTTATAAGCCTCAATTTCAAGATGTGTAACATTTATACTTAATAGCCATAATTAACCATTATGTAACTGTAACCTAAAGTAAATAAAAAGTCTTAAAATATATTAATCAAATACAATAACTCTAAATTACTCTAAATTGTAATCTATCCAAAATTTATAACATAAAACTTCATTCTTTTTCAATATGACATGAATTGAAATATCTTTTGATACTTTCAACAATATTTTCTTCACATCTTCATTGAAGTATATTGTATGATTGATATCTTTTGGTTCATATCAAGGTCCGACAAAATATAAAATTTAAGGATATTTTTATTCATTTAGTCAGTTTTAGATTAAATTAATATATATATAATCTTGAGATGTGAGGTTAAAAGGGAAAAGAATTTGGGGCCCATTAAAAAGCATAAAGTGTATTGACTTTATTGCATTTAATAAATAATTGGGCCCTTGATAATAATAATATGATTGAATTACCATGTGAAAGGACAAAATTAGAGCTATAAAGTAACATATAACCAAAAGGGGAAGTTCACGACTACCATATAACTTTCCAATGTTGTAGGACCTAAAAAGGGAATTTTATTCGTTACATTTATTGTCTTATGTAAAATTAAAAACATGTAATGAAAATCCATAAAGTCACCCGCTTTAATTCAATTTTCAAATATTTGAAGTTGGTAGGTTGTTAGAAAAAAATTCATAAATTTACGAGACACAGATGAAAAGGTGATGAAAATGATGGATCTTTTAATATATTTTTATAATAATATGATATTGTCCATCTTTTTTTTATAAGTTCTCGTGACTTTACTTTTTAAATTACCCAAAAGGTATCGTACCAATCGATATAATTCTCCTCTATGTAACAAATGCGAGACCTTGCTTGTACCTAACGATCCTTCTCTCGAACATAATACCACCTCAAGGCTCCTTTCATAGTCCACTGTTAGCAGATATTGTTCGTTTTGGCCCGTTACGTATCGTTATCAGCCTCACGGTTTTAAAACACGTATATTAGGGAAAGGTTTCTACACTTTTATAAGGAATGCTTCCTTCTCTTTTCCAACAGATGTGAGATCTCATAACTCACCTCTCTTAAGGGTCAACGTCCTCATTGGTATATCGTTCAGTGACGGACTCTAATGTCATATTTTCCTCGTGTTTCAATTACGTTTTTATCCAATCTAAGGACCGATACACAAACCTCATTAATTTTGTTTGGAATCTAAGAACATCACCAACACGACTAGGTTTTGACCATAACTTCGATACCAATCGATAACGACAACAAATACTCTAAGTATTTTTACAGTGATGTGATATTGTCCCGTTTGTGCATAAGTCTTCATAATTCTAATTTAACAATTCTCGAAATGTCTCATATCAATAGAGACAATTGTTCTCGTTCATACACGGTGAATCTCTCGTTCATAATTTTGATTAAAGATTTAAAATTAAAATTAAAATTGATTAAAATAGTTTATAAACTAAAATAATATTTTTAATCTAACTTTTCCAATAATGATGATGATACGGATTGTAAAGATTTCTGGTGGAAGAATAAAATCACTCCTGCAGTAAGGCACGTGTTCCAACAGATTTTGAACACCTTCTGGCAGCTTTTTTCTTTTTATTTATTTATTTAATTAACATAAATAATATATTATGTTTTCTTTGTTTATTAGTATTGATAATATTGTTTATGAAAAATAAATAAGTTTGAGAAATATAAAAAAGTTATATTATCTCAAATTTTATAAAAAAATGTCCATAAATATACCAATAAAATGTTGATGATGAATATTAAAAAAAAATCATAAGAACAAATAATAATAATAATAATTAATTTATATTTTATACTTATTTGAAAAATACTCATAAATTTTCAAAAATTTCAACCGTTTAAAAAAAAATCTAAAAATACGATTAAACTTAAAAAAATATTATTACAATTGATTTTAGATGGTTAATACTTTGTTTCAAAAGTACTTTTGAATTTTCAAAATGGTTTAAAGACAGTTTAAATAAAAAAAAAACACATTTAAACTTTTTTTAAATAAATTTTAAAAAAATACATTTACCATTGTACACATTTGAGCTTTTCAAAATAATATTAAAATATTTATAGATAATCTTTGAGGTTTTGATAGACGATTTATACTCACTATATTAACAGTAATAATATTTTGAACTTTTTTTTATAACTGTTATGAGTATTTTCTAAAATGTAACTTTTGAATTCGAGACTGAAAAATGAAGGGTATTAATGAAACTTTTCAAAGTTTAAAGATATTTTTGAAATATTATTAAAAGTTTAATGATATTTTTAAAACAAGATAACAATCATTTGTATTTAAAACTAACGATAATAATATTTTTTAAACTGTTTTTGAAAATTTAATAACATTGTCGAAACTTTGAAAGTTTATGAGTATTTTTTAATTCAGAGAGTTAAGAGTTTCATTTACAAAATATTATAAAATATATACGAAAATAAAATAAGTGCAAATCTTCAATAATATAGTTAAGGATATTATTTTCTTCTTTTGGTAATAATAAAAATAGAAATTCCAGAAGGAACTCGAAATAATGATGAATTTGAAAATATTGCCCCCAAACTCTTAGAAATTAAAAAAAGCAACCCCAAAAATTTGCAAAAAGACCCAGATTTGTTATATATATATATATAGCCAAATATGTTATGACTGCCACCTCACAAATGGACAATACAAAGGAAATTTCGAGGAAGTTTCTTGGGGATTTTCAAATTGACCCCTCAAGAATCAATCATTTCACTTCCGTTCATTTTTAAGGGACACCTCTGCTAAAATTTAAAATATAAAAGCCTATGGGCCAAATTATTTGGGATAATTATATAATTTTATATCCCCATAAAATAAAATTTGAATTAACTATAAATTATTAGTTGAAATTGGCCCGGTCGGCGGAATGATTGGACGTTGGAAATAAATAATATTTAAATATTTAAATTACCAAACAATGATATAAAACATTTTAAATTTACCTTCAAACAATAATTTCTAAATTTTCATAAATTAATTAATTTTGGCCAACGTAAAAAATAATTATAAAATATTAATAAAGAATTTTTAAAAAATATTTATTCCATATATTTCAACAATAATTGGGATTCGCAGAATGTTGGTTGGATTTATTATTATTATTATAAGAGATGGGAATCACATGGGTTTGGGCACGGGAATGTTTAGAAAGCTACTGTGTTTTGTTTTTTTTTTATAAATGAGTTGAACTATGCTCAAATTGATAGTTTACACTAATAATTATAAAAAAAGAAAATCATTTTTAATCTTTTTAGGTCGTTTTTGTCTTTTAACTCCAAAAACGGCCCCGTCCCTCTCTTCTTCATTGCTTGTCTTTTCTAATCATTTCACGTTCTACCCACTTGTTTTGGTTCCCTCTTTCCTCCCATTTATTTCTTCTAAATCAATTGAATCATACTTAAATTGACAGGTTAGATTTATTTGAGGTATATAATTTGAATCAATACTGAGAGGATACAAAATAATTTTTAATATTTTAGATCGTTTTTGTCTTCGGTCCCAAAAAACGGCCCCGTCCTTCTCTTCTTCATAACCATTAACGTGTAGTTATTACATGTGTCAATTTCACACTATTAATGAATATTCTCGATCAAAACAATAAATATGTAATATATTTAAAAAAATAATAATAATAAACGAGCTTCCAAGAAAATTCGTGAATAGTGACGATGATCAGTATAGATAAAGAAGTTGAAGCCATTTTCAAAAAGGACAAAGGGTTGCATGTTACTTGCTACGCTTTCATTTTTTCGTGCCATATAGAATGAACATGTCCCACGAACTCTACATTTTTTTTGTGGTCTAATATTCTTTGGGATTTGATTTCTGACCCGCCCTATGATTTTTTAATTAAAAAATAAACGTGTTTTAATTAATTGAATTACATTTGAGTTAACTATGTAATTAATGTTAGTTAAGTATGGTCGATAATTGCATACATCGACGTTCGTGAATAAAGCCTTAACTATTTAAAAGAATATAATAATGAAAGAAAAA